GAGTGTGCGGCCTCAGTGTGGAACACTTGCCCCCTCCTCTGCAGCGACACGCACACACACCGCTAGGAATAAATTTCACTAAGCAAAGGACAATTTCTTTTTTCTTCAATGTTTTCCATTTTTTCTTGCTGCTTTAGGACGACCACCATGGACTTTTTTTTTTCGGCTTTTAATTTTTTTCTTTTTTGTTTGGAGTATAATTTTTTATGTTCTTTATGTTTGTTTGCTTTTTAAAAAAATGCCTATGTTTTTTTTTTCCACTTTTTTCTTTTTTTTTTGCTTTTGGGGGCAATCACGATGGACGTTTTTTTTCTTTTCTATTTTTTTAATTGTTTTTTCTGCGCTCTTCCTGTGAGGGGTGCCGTGTGTTTCCGCCCAACTGCTCCACTCGCACACCCACCGACACGCTCATGACGACGGCCCTGTGCGCCTCGCCTGCTGCACGCATGAGGAGGGGCCGCGACGAACGGCGCGCTGAGGGAGCCGTGACGTGTGGGCGTGCGACGAGGGCCTGTGGGGCGGAGCCCACATTTCCTTCCCTCTTGTTTTGTTTTCTTTGCGGCCAGGGCTGGCAGACACCCGCAGCGCCACACACACACAGCCACACCCTGCCGCCGTGTTTTTAAGATTTTTGCTGCGCTCACTCTCCCGATGGAGTGACGCGACTCCCGTCATGTCTGCGTGCCTCTCTCAGTCTCCACACACACGAGTGACTGTGCTCTGCGGGCCGCACTCACGCACCAATAAAACGGCTGAGGGGAGCAGCAAAACGCAGATGACCCATGAAATATAAACGATGTGCGGACACACGGAGGTCGGACGGTTGAAAAAGATGTATCTTTCTAAATTTACCTTGTGGTCAAAATATATGTAGACAGTTTGGTGGGCCACACGGCAGCTAGGCGAAATGTTTCTTGTGTGTTTAGTTTTTCTTTTCCTTTTTTGTGTGTGGAACAATAGTAGTGGACGAATTTTTTTTTTTTTTTGTGTGGAACAGTAATAAAGGACAACTTTTTTTTCATATAATTATTGTGTGCGAGGGGGGCTAATATATGATGAAAGGGAATTGTTTTTTCTAATTATTTTAAATAAATCTTCTATGAATTGCCTCTGCTTTGTCTGCAGCGCAGTATCATGAGTCTGAGCAGTCCTGTTATTTCTGCCATGCACCTCTGCTGTACATTTTTGTTTGTGCGTCCCTTCACATGCTCTGCTCCTGTTTTTACTTCTTTGCTTCGTGTGTCTGCAGGCGCACACAACCACATGCACGCACAAGATGCACATTGCAGTGGATTTTAATGCTTCTTTTGTAGTGCGTGCGGGTGGCTGCTGCTTCCTCCGTGGGCATGAAGAGAAGGAAGAGACAGTGGGAGTGCGCCGCGGCTCTCATCCCCTGTGGGAAGGTTGCGCTGCGTGTGGCGGCATTGCTTTTAAACGCCGAACCAACACGCACGAGGACATGGCACGGAGCGGAAGACTTCCTCTTTGTTTTGTTTCTGCTGCTGTGGGTGTGGGCGCGGCTGCGTCGGACTTGTCGGCACGATGGCCGCAGCGTGTGGCTGTCACTCTGTTCTCTTGGGAATATGCCGCGACTCTTTTACGTGTGTTTTGTTTCGGGGACAATGTGCTGGCGGCTGTGTGATTGCCGGATGGAGAGAAAGGTGCGGAGGGAATTGCGTGAGCGCAGCGGTCGAGAGTCGCGCTGGGTTTCTCGCTGTGGAGGACATTGCCCACCCAACGCAGCACCGCTAGTGTCGGGCACCCTCTATCACACTGCAGCATCGTATTCGACGCCAGCAGCACCCGGCGAGGCAGCGGATGCCACCACCGCCACGAGTGCGACCGGAAGGAGACGCGTCTGCTGTTGCGTTTCGAAGGGGCACTCCGTGTGGAACAGCGGCGTGCCCAAAACCTCCTCGCGGAGTCCGCACACGACACCGGGCAGTGGACGCGGAGTGTTTGCGTCGTGGAGGACACCGCGGTGGAATCCCTCCTTCCCTCCGGGTGGACGTTCGGCTGATTTTCCCCTCGTTCTTACCCATGAGGTTCTTTTTCCTTTTTTAGTTTAAGAACTCTTGCTGTGTTGGGGCGCGGGTTTGGAAAACCCATCACCTTTGATGGTGGGCTTGTGCTTCCGTTCGGTCTCTCCCCTTTACCACATTGTCGCTTTCTAAATATTTTGTGATGACGAGTGGCGTTGCAGAAGACACGCTGAGGCGCTGGGCTTCATTATCAATTCATTTATTTGATATATATATATATATATATACCTGGTACGGTTTGTGGTGTCTCTGATGACGTTCCCGCATGGAGGGCTTTATTGGGGCTCGAGCCTTTTTGTGCGGACGGAAGGCCAAGGACGTTATCCATGCGTGGCCATTGCGCTGGAAGGAATCTTTTTTTTTGTTCACATTGACACGGAGCCATTCCTGTGCACCTTCTTTTTCTTTTATACTTCTTTTGCTTTCTTTCAGGAGATGCTCCCTTGGCTTTGCCTCCAACGGGATATGCGCAGAGTTACACGCAGTTTTAAAAAAGGAGCCACGAGTTTTTTTTGGAAAGGATGCTTTATCTTTCTTCTAATATCTTTTTTTTCGTTCATGCTGATATATATGTATACTTGTTTAGAGGTGGAACCTCTGTTTGGTGACGATCCCGCTCATGATGTTGAAGTTGATCCGACCATGGCGGACTATATCCACTGCGTCGGGGAAAGGCTTCTGGTGGACCCAAAGACACGGTGGATGGGGGGAAATAACGGGACGGACGTTATCCCGTTGATGGTGGTCCCGCTGATGCTCGATCTGATGGACTTTCGGAGGATGATGTGCAACATCAGTGTGCCCATCCGGCTGTTGGTTTTGGTGCAGAACGGGCGGGAGGCGATGCTGTCGTTGTGCCTGCAGGAGCTCGAGAGGGTCTATGGGTGGTCCGGACGCCTGGTTGTGAGTCGTCACCCGGAAAACATCGGGTACAGCGCCGCCGTGAACATCGGGTCACGACTTGCACTCTCGCTGCCGCGCGAGGAAGTGCCTTTTGTTTTTGTGACAAACAGCGACGTAATGCTTTCACCCGATCTCCTTCCCAGCCTTCTACGCGATGTGCATGAAATGACGAGGCATGATGCCGCTCGCATGGATGAGTTAGCGGCGGAAGCGGCGAATGGGCCGAGCGAGTACAGTCCTGTTTTGCGACGGGGCTTGAGGGTGCTGCGCTCCACGGTGAACGATAACCGATTGTCGACGTCTGCGCTGCTGCCTGACCGCATCCGTTATGCCTCTGTGAAGGAGCGTGAAAAGGCGTTTTCGAAGCATTACGGGCACTTCTGCGCTTATTACAAAAGCAGTTGTTTTGTGTCTGTTTTGTTGACACGCCTGGCGATCAGTACGGTGGAATACTTTGACGAGAACTTCTACCCAGATTGAGTGGAGGATGTCGAGTACGGCTTGCGCCTCCGTTTGCTTGGATTTCAGGAGCGGAATGTCTTATGCGGCAAATTTGTGCATCGCGGCAGCTCGAATATTCGTCTCTCGGAGCAACTGGAGCTGCCGGACGCTCTCTGGTACCGTCGCGTCAAGTCTTTGATGACGAACCAACCATATGCCATGATGAAGTGGAACCGTCCACAGGCGTGCAGTGGCGGGTACAAGGAGCCATATGACGGCATGGTCCCCGCAGACGTTTGGGTGAAGGATGAGGCACGCATACAACGCATTCGGGCCTACGGGCATGATGAGATCCGAAGAGTTCCAAGTATTGACTACGACAGGAGGCTTTTGTACCCTGTGAGGACTAAAGGAAGATGATTCGGCAACAAACACAAGTTTTGCTTTCTTATTTTGTTTTGCCTTAATTTTTAAAAATTTACACCTCTGTTTGGTTATTTACACGATTAATATTTAAGCGAGTACGCCGTGGATTTTAAAGAGCGCAAACGTATATTTGGCATGACAGGGGTGGGAAGGGCGCAGCGTCCAAACTTGGCAGTGCTGCCGAAGGCAGGAGAGGGAAGTAGAAAGCAGGAAACGTGAAGATGATGGATGAGGGGGAAATAAAAGGGGAGGGAAGCAGAAAACAAGTCAAAATATTGTGAGCACAACGCTGTTTCTTTTCGTGGGCGATCGACACCGCAATTGGCTACTAATTTACCCACTGAAGGTGACACCCGTTTCCGCTGGATATGCTGCGTGCATATCTGTTGGGCTCTTTGTTTGTTCTGTTGTTTGGTTTGTCTCCCGCACATTTATTTCTTCGTGCCGCCTGACTCACTCGTTTATTATTCCCCTCCCTGTTTTTGTGCGTGCACTGAGAGAAGGGCCCGGGGACATGAAGTGCGCTCCCCTTCTGTGAGATGCCACCAAAAACAAGAGGAGAACGAAAAGAAAAGTGAAGCGGGGAGGGGAGCCATCGCCACGCGTCCTTTTCTCCGAGAAGGCTGCTCGCCACGCCACTGAGGCGCGCCGTGTGCTTCACGAGGCCCGCTGGACTCGATTGGGGAGCCGTGAATGATGGTGCGTGAGAGTGTGGCGGATGCGTCTCCCAGGCGTCCCTAGAGGGCCCTCTGGCCATTGGGACTACGCGGAATGCGGGATTCCGCGGGGATATTTGCCCGTTTTGTTTTTATTTTTTTATCCACCTCTCCCAAACCTCAACACGGCGGCTGAGCCAACGACTGCGACGGGATCCGTTGCGTATTTCTGAATCTTTTTTGCGTTGCAGAGGCAGACCTGATTTGTCCTGCTCGGCAGACATGGTGGACGGGAGTGGGCTGCCCTATCGGGAAAACGATGGTCACGGCGGAGCGTGTTGCGTACTTCGCAATTTGGCGTGTTTGTGGCGATCCTTTCGGATGATGTGACGGGGTCTCTTTTAATTGCGGGGAGAGAAGCGATGCTCCACGGTGGTGCACACGTTGCGTCTGGAGGCTTCTCTTGCTGTTGGTTTGTGAACGTTTTTTCATTCGCTTTTGCTGAAACATCACAGAGGGCGGTGTCTGCGGACAGCAGAGAACTGCGAGGAGGGGCATCGTACGATTTTTGGCGCGATGAGGCGGCTTCTGTGACTTTACGGTGTTTATTTTCAGGCTTGAGAGACTATCCTTTGCTGGAATGTATTGTGGGAGGCCATACGCGTGTTTGTTTTTCTTAGTCAATCCCTTGGCATTTGGTGTCTGCCGTAAAATGGATGTTGATGGCCGTTTTATGGCGCTGAGATGCATTTTTATGTATTTTATTGGCTAATGTGTGAATTGTGTTGCGTTCTGCCACGCGGCTTGTTGCTGAGGGCGAGTGGCCGCAGGGAGACGTTATGAGCGCCTCCGACACGAGGGGCGATTGAGCAGTCATCTCCTCCGCTCGCCGGTACACGCTGTTGAGGCGGCGTGGTGGTAATGAATCGGTCTCTCAGAAAAGCAACGAGAGGACGTTTGTTCTTCCTGCTGCGGTGTACGAGTGAACCTCCAATCCGTGGGCGGGGTCGCTCTGTGTGCCGTATTTCTTTGAATTCCATGAGTTTTTACATGGCCATCCACACGCACATGCACGCAGTCTCCCTGTTTGCCCTCCTGTGGGCGGAAGACCGGGATGCAAGGGAAAAATGTGGCCTGTGCCAGCATGTGACAAAGTCTTTCTTGGGAGGGGTTGCGACTGTGATGTACGTCCTGGCAGGCAGGAATGGGATGGGCGAAGAGCAGAGGGCGAGTAACAGCGATCGTGTGCGGGGCAATGCGCAGTGAGTAGGGCGGAGTGGTATTTGTGTTGACTTTTCAAAGCATTTTTGTCTTTTTTCTTTTGTGGCAATAGAAAGAAAATTTGGGTGGTGTGTTGTGGATTATTTGCAGGTGATTCAGCGTGGCAACACCATTTGCGGAGAAAATGAATGGCATCTGCGTGCGGCTTGTTTTTTGAGAGCGAGATGGTCGGGGAGGTGCTCAACGCTCCGAGAGGCCCGGAGCAAAGAGGCGTGCACTGCTGCAAGCAGAGGGCTGCACGCTCCTGTTGGTGGCGTTGCTGTGGGGCCCTGAATGGCCTGCAGGGAATTTGTTTTTCCCCGCTTCATTATTTTGTTGATTGGTGCTTACCGAGGCCTTTTGAGGCGGGACGTGGGATGGACCGAGAGAGCGTGTGTCGTGCGACTGTGCTGTGAATTGGTGCCGCCCACGTTTGTGCAGATATTTCCTTTTGTGTCCGCGTCGTTGCTGCGGCGGTGCACCGGGAGCGTGTGACCGATCACTGTATCACTTGCGGACTGTTTCGGCAGGACTTTGAATGGCGTCGCCGAATGATGAAAGTCCGCGTCCATTTGTGTGTGTTGGCTTCCGCCGTGTTGTTGTTGTTTTTGTTTTCTGTGTGCAATTGTTTTCCGTGCTGTTCCTTCCGGATTGTCTCGTGTCCCGCTCTCTGTGTGAGTGATGTGCTCCGCTTCTCACTGACGTGTCTGATGTGCTGCCGCTGTTGTTTTCTTCTCCACTTCTTGAAAGCAGACACGCTAGGAAAGAAAGCAACCAAGCGCGAATCGCTACTGTGAAATCCGAAGGCTCTGAAAGGACCAACAACACACACACGCCCTCACAAACACATATTTATATGCTCTCACGTGTTGCTGCAGTGAAGGCACCCCGCACACACAACCGTCGCCGCGTGACCGGATCCAGCGGAAGGAGGAGGGAAGGAAGAGATCGTGAGCCGCAGAGGCCCAACATGTCCCGGCGTGTGTTTGCTTCTGCCGTTCTGGTGCTTCTACTTGTTTTGTTGACGTACTGCCGTGGAGCTGCGGCCGTTGAGCAGGCAGGGGCCGCTGTTGATCCTTTTAAGGGGACGACGCCGATATCATTTGCTAATTGGAACGAGGTTAACGGGGACGGAAGGAAAATCACCTCGCTCCGTGTTCCCGGCCTCGTTAAAGTTGGTGAAGATGTATTTGTCGTTGCTGAGGCGCAGTGTGGGGAGAAGGATGGAGCCGGCAGCTGTCCTGGGATTGTCTCAAAGCACCTGAATATAAGTCATGACTCAATGGATATTTTGACGTCGGATATAAGTTTGTTTTGCATGCAACATGGGGACACTGCCGCGAATAATTTTGGGACAACGGAGTTGTTGCGGCCAACGACACTTGTACTTGGGGACAGTGTTTACATGCTCCTGGGAAACCAAAGCCGTACAAAGCCGCAGGATGAAGGTACGAATGAGCGAGGCCTTTTACTCGTGAAGGGAACTGTTGCTGATGAGGGTGGAAGGAAGAAAATCAGATGGAATGAGACCCATGTGGTGAGGCCTGAACCCAGAGGAGAATCTCGTTCCTTGACCGAGTTAATTGGTGGCGGAGGATCGGGTGCTGTGTTGCGTGACGGCGCGCTTGTGTTTCCCATGCAGGCCAAAGACAAGGATGGAACGAACGTTTTGCTGTCTATGCGTTTCCCCAAGTCAGGGAACAAATGGGAGCTTCCATATGAGACGCCTGGTAACGGCTGCAGGGATCCAACCCTGGTGAAGTGGAAAGAAAAGAAAGACGACGAAAGACTCTTCATGATGGCTCATTGTGCTGGAGGCTACTATGACGTTTACATGTCCACTGAGAATGGATACAATTGGAATGGTCACGTAAAACCAATTACCCGCGTGTGGGGCAACACACACAATCGAACAGGGGACGGCGTCCAGAGTGGATCCACCACCGCAATTATTAAGAGAAAGAAGGTGATGCTCATCACCGCGCCGGTGTATCCGAAGGACAATGGAAAAGGTCGGCTCCATCTTTGGGTGACGGACAAGGCACGTGTGTATGATGTTGGGCCGGTATCTCGTAAAGATGATGACGCCGCCGCCAGCTCGCTTTTGATAAAAGATAATAATAGTGAGTTGATTTCACTGTACGAGAACAAGAGCGACGGATCATACAATCTTGTTGCTGTGCGTCTGACCGAGAAACTGGAGCGGATAAAGGAAGTTGTGAAGGCATGGAGGGATTTGGACAGGGCCTTGAAAACATGCCGTTCCGGTTCCGGTGGCACTGTTGACGCGCGCAAAAAGGATATGTGCAATGGTCCTGTTCCCACCAAAGGGCTTGTTGGCTTCTTGTCCGGTAACTCAACTCAGACCGAGTGGAGAGACGAGTACCTCGGCGTGAATGCAACAGTGACGAATGGGAAGAGAAGGGTTCCCAATGGATTGACGTTCGAGGGATCCGGAGCGTGGGCGAAGTGGCCTGTTGGCGAAATGGGGCAGACTGTGCCGTACTACTTTGCTAACAACAAGTTCACTCTTGTGGCGACGGTGTCCATCCACGAGGTGCCGCAGAGTGACAGCAGCCCCGTCCCTTTGATGGGTGTGAGGATGAATGACACCGACAGCACGGTGCTCTTTGGTTTGTCGTACACCCATGAAAAGAAGTGGTTGGCCATAGCGGGTAAACGTGCTAGTTCGAAGCTCGTCGATGAGTGGGAGGATGTTGATGATGCGGAGGATGTTGATGTGTGGGAGCCAAACAGGACGTATCAGGTGCTGCTGCAAATGGATTATGATGAATGGACTGTCATTGTAGATAGAAAAGAAATCGACCACAAGAGCTATGATCAGAGTCTGTTTAACTTCCACAGGATTTCACACTTCTACATCGGTGGGGACAGTAAGGACCGAAGTGCAACGGGCGGCCATGTGACGGTGACCAACGTCATGCTGTACAACGAGGAACTGTTGGGAAATGATCTGCATAAACTCCATGCCAGCAAAGTCAATATTCCATCACTGGGTGTTGAGAAACAACCCACAGAACAGGTGTCCAGCACAGACGTCTCGATTGCTTCCGAGCCAAGGAGTGAAGAAAGCACCGCCAGCCATGAGGAATTGACTGAGGATGATACTGATGAACAAGAGGAAGGAATCGTCAATGATCTGCTGCTTGCAGCATCCTCTTCCAAGGCTGACGCGGGATCATCTGTTCCTGAATCCGCCACCGCAGCGCAGAGCGCAGAGAATTCTCATCAAGAGGACAATGCCCAGTTTCACCAGGGCAAAACGGCCCAGCAATTCACGCTGAATGAAGCGAAGGAATCGATGCAACGGGATTCAGATGTGCAGCCACAAGACCCACAGCCAGCGGAATTAACGGAGGTTACTGATGTTGAAATGTCCCCTGAAAGTAATGATACAGAACAGCCAGAGGAGGAAGGAGAAGCAAATGACAGGAGTGACGGAACAACGTCTCCAGTGGCTTCGTCACTGATTATGGAAACGGTCACTGGACCAGCTGACGGCGAGCACCAAGTGCAACAAAGCACTGAGCTTTCCGCTGAAAATGACGACGTGCGGTCCACTGGAACCGGAACCACCGGCGCGGAGCAAAGCCTCAGCCTCGAGGCGGGGGATGGAAGTTCCGAGAGAACAATGGGCTCAGGCAGCAGCCCCACTCCTTCAAAGAGTGGCGCCGAAACAAAATCCGCGGAGAACACCGACAACATCTCTTGGAGTGAGGGGGGTGAATTTTCTTCTGAAGACGTCGAGGAGGTGCCACAGACAGTCGACGCCGCACCGGGTAATACAAACACCACGCCTGGAGGCGAAGGGATCCCCTCAACAAAAGGCGCGGCACGACACTCGGACAACGACACCTTCACCGGGGAAATTGCGGAGTTGCTGTCCATGGGTCTGAACCGTGACAGCACCGTGCATGGGTGTGTGTCTCGGGTGTTGTTGCTGCTTCTGGGGCTGTGGGGCGCTGCGACTCTCTGTTGAATGAATTGGGGAGAGCAAAGTTGCGAAATTCTGTGGAGCAACAACTGAGCGGCATCCCAGCAATACTCAATTTCTTCATTTCATTTTTTTTTTCTTTTTTTTTCTTGTGCTTGTTTTCTTTTCTGCAAATCGCTTTCCTTTTTTTTTTTTGGGAGGGGTGCCGTGTGTTTCCCGCCCAACTGCTCCACTCGCACACCCACCGACACGCTCATGACGACGGCCCTGTGCGCCTCGCCTGCTGCACGCATGAGGAGGGGCCGCGACGAACGGCGCGCTGAGGGAGCCGTGACGTGTGGGCGTGCGACGAGGGCCGGTGGGGCGGAGCACAC